GCCGATTATATCGTGCATCCCTACCTAAAACAAACATGAATTCTGTATTTATAATCTTTAATGTTGGTATATTCATGTGAATAATTAACGACTTTGTTTCTGTTCCCAGTTTATGGTTTATATATTAATTAGGTAAACAGAACAGTGGTTTTTAAAGTGCGGTCCCGATAGTCGGCCACTGAGAGACGATTTTTTTTAACCTTTTTTTGTTTTTCAATTATTGTGGATGATATTTCTTAAAACACTAACTTGTAATAATATCTCACGTAAACATGGAGATTTAAAACTGAGCTAAGAAAGGATTATCTCACTGTGGCAAAACTCACAATATTTGAGTAAGTTTTGCATATTTTTTTTACTTATTATTTTCTTTTTAAACAAACAAATGTGAACACACATTGCTAAACATTACTTGGTAAATACAGAATATATTTTACAGTGCATGTCATGAAAAAATAGAAATAATATCCAGAATCCAGATAAGGTTAAATGGACGTATAGACTAGAAAGATGGAGGGTTAATATATATCGTAACCATCTGTGGGATTCATCTGTTATAGATCCGTCTCGCTATAGGAAACTCCTCCTCACAAAATCATCAGACTTCTATATTTAAGCAGTTATAACTTTTAAAGAGTTTTTTTTTTTAGCGCTAAAGCTTCTCAGAAAAGAACATAGATCCGTCTAAACATTGGTGCTGCTGCCGTCCAGTCGTTCTCCTTTAACCAGCTGCTCTTCATCAGTCTGGTGATTTTATGTTTCTGTCTGGTGAAAAAAGCCCCGGCTGGGATTAGAACCAACAACCCATCAAGCCATCATCAACTTTTTTGAACTATATTTTTACTACATTTTATGAAGAACAATACAAAACATTCCCGAACAACATGAGAAATAAAGCTTGACAGTGAAAAATAAAGGAGGTTAGGACGTTGTGGGGGATCATGGGATCCTCCTTAGAGGAGCCGCATTATGCGAACCCACATCCACTAAACCTGATCAGGTCTTCAGCTTATTTTAGGCACAGATTCTTTGGGTGTTTATTAAATTCACCTAAAGGACGACGTAGAAATCTTTGGTCCAAATACAGAACCTCCATGAACTGTAGAACGAGAGCTTTAGTTTTTTTTTTTTTTACTTCTCGGATTAAATCTCATCAAACAAAGAAACCAAACTATGAAGTTCAGCTTCAAAAGCTTGTAGAGAAAAATCCTCTCCTGTTTTTTTTATTTTAATCCTGTCTTTTAGAGGCCAACCCTGAGAAATTCAACAGCCGCTTCAGGAATAAGATGTTCTATGCCGGGGTGAGTGCCGCCCTCCTCTTCCTCCTCCTTCAGTCCGCCCCATCAGAACCGTGGCGCTTAGATCCGTTCATCTGTTGTTTTTCAGACGGCCTTTTCGGACTTCCTGAGCGGCAGCTCCAAAGACCTCGCCAAACACATCAGAGTGGTGGTGAGTACAGGCCGCTGGTTCTCAGAAGCCGTTTACCTAGAACTAAGCAGAACCTCCAACATATGAAGGCTGGTTTTAACAACTGAAGCCCAGGAGAAGCTGAGCTGTTTGCGTCAGTCTGTCGACTGTCATCGGGTCAGAACCAGGTCTGCAGAAACCCAGTTTGGTTTTATTTCCACCCAAACAGACCTGCATTTAGAGAGAGTAGATATGCAAGCATCCGGGTGACATTACAGAACCTTTAGAAGCTGCAAGCGGACCTGGCAGAGAGCAACAAAGCCTCGTCCTTTTCATCAGCATCAGCGGAGAGCCACTTTACTCCGCTGCCTACAGATGCATTATCCCACCCGGGCCGCACCGACCCACCGCAGGCATTGAAAACAAGCTGCCACCAGGTCGGCTCTGACTAAAACTCTGAAAATAAAAAGGATTTTCTCTTTTTAAATAAAAAGAGCGAACAGGTGCTGTTTAGACACCAGCTGTTCAGCAGCAGGTATGATAAGGAGAAGCAACGTCAGTTTGGCCCCTGGTGGGGGGGGGGGTTTCATCTGATATTTGGTTCCTTAGAAGAGGAGAGGAGATGTGTTCTGAAGCACAACTGGGTCAGACAATGGCTAAACCTGCAGGTCCAGTCAGACCTTTGCGGTCTGTTGTGATTAATATGTAAGAAAACGGTGAAGAACCAGGGGGCTGACTGAGTTCGGCCCCTCTGACGGGCTTCCGGACCTCTGACGGGGTTCGGGCCCTCTGACTGGGTTCGGGCCCTCTGACTGGGGTTCGGGCCCTCTGACTGGGTTCGGGCCCTCTGACTGGGGTTCAGGCCCTCTGACGGGCTTCCGGACCTCTGACGGGGTTCGGGCCCTCTGACCGCGTTCGGGCCCTCTGACTGGGGTTCGGGCCCTCTGACTGGGGTTCGGGCCCTCTGACACAGTTCGGGCCCTCTGACTGGGGTTCGGGCCCTCTGACACAGTTCGAGCCCTCTGACACGGTTCGGGCCCTCTGACACAGTTCGAGCCCTCTGACACAGTTCGAGCCCTCTGACACGGTTCGGGCCCTCTGACTGGGGTGCGTGCCCTCTGACACGGTTCGGGCCCTCTGACACAGTTCG